CCCCCCCAAAAAAACCATGACACTACAGTAAAAAATTAGATACAGTTTAGTTATTTCTACATTTTACACGCCTCACTTAGGCATTTCCATTGTTATGGAAATGATACACGGGATGTTTATCTATGAAACTAGATGACAGAAATCAATTAGTTTTAACCCAAATAAAATATATCTTAGATGTACTCCAACAGGCATATGCTAAAGATATAAGAGGCCTGGATATCCTATAAAAAGAGATAGCTGATGCAGTTTAGCTAAGTTACAAATAAATGGCTAATCTTAGCTTGCTTGAATACTTTAAACCTCTAAGGTCAAAGTCAGCCTCAGTAATGACTTGATGACTACACTAACATAGTCTATGCAATATAATTTTGTCTTTACTTGTCACGGCTGGCAGGGTGAGCCGTGTGGAGGGTGAGAAAAGGAGGACCCAAAATGCAGGCAGTGGCGGAGGTGCAAGTGGGTTTTATTTACAGTGCACAAATAACAGAACTGAGGGCAGGACAGAACATAAACCTAAACTGGGTGAGCTAAGTAACAAACCTGAGATCATACGAATGGGTTGGGAGGCAGAGAGACGCAGACGAGGAACAGGACACCATGAAACACAGACGAGCCGACAACGAACACAGACCGACACCCACTATAAATACACACACCAGGTAATCAGGAAATGGCACACAGGAGGGGACACAGCTGGAACTAATGGGCATAACGAGACACAGACCTACAAAGTAAAACAGGAAACACACAGACTGTTTTACAACACAACACGGGGACATGAACAGAGCACCAAGGACAGACACAGGTAGGGCTGAATAAAGGAAACACAAAACGCTGGGTCAAAATGACCCAGGACCATGACATTACTAAATTATTCTACCAAAACTTGGCACCCCTACAGACAGTGACCAAAAGAAGTAGCTGTTCCCTATCCCCAATATCCTTCTCTGTTATTCTAGCCCTTCTTCAATAAATCTATAAATCTTCTCAGTGGTCTTCCCCCTTTCCTTCGGTCTTACATTTCTGTATACAGCCTCCTTTGTCCAATATATCCACTATACCCCTGCTAGGTATGTGGAGAGACAAGACTACAGCTGACCACCCCCATTAAGCAATGGAACTGGTCAGTGGGGACCAAGTGTTTTTTTTAGACCAACTGAGTCTAAAAACCTAATATACAAATTGTGTTTTGATTTTAAATTTTAAATTATTGAAGATCTAGTGACCTACACCAATCAACAGAGGGTTTATTTGGGATCAGTGAAAACAAGTAGTTGATTATAGTCCTAACCATCATTTTAATTTTGGCTACCCTCTCTGTGATTGATACAAGTATTCCAACATGTGAGATCATCCTCTACTATTTTCAGTTGAGGAATGTGATTCAAACCTGACAAATCTGAAAACCAGGCAGAAAGATTTACACGTATTCCAGTTGATGGAGTATTCTGATATAGATGAGAACTTATCTATAAGTGTGATCGTCTTCAGAAGAGAGATTTGTGAGTTCCCAAGGAAAAGTATTACATCATCAGCATATAGGGTTATCTTACGGTCTGCATTTTCAGTTTGAATTTAATGTTGTAGAAATATTTGAAACCAGAGGATTCTAAGGCAAATTCGGAAGCCTCTATAATGCTGTCCCATTAATCTGTTCAGTATTACATAGCTTCTATGATTTAAACAATTTTAAAAAACAAAAATCTCAAAACGAGAATCAGAAAAGGAAATGCACGTCAGAATCTAGCAATTATAACTTTGGCCAAATTACTGACAATAAAACCTCCCAACAAAAAGTTGTCCAGTCTGCAGCAAACACATATAACTGCACATACATGACTGAATGGGAGTGCTTCAAAACATGCTCTAGAATTCGTGAATGTTTTTTAGTATTAAAGTGAAGCTTGCACACCGCTGCACAATAGAAATAACAGCTGTAGGTAAACGGCAATTTCAAAAAGACTGATGTGTGGCACAGATGAGTTCTTTCATAGAGATTTTTTGATTTAGAAATAAAAAATAACTACACAAATGGAAATATTTGATTATTGTTTGATTATTGTACAAAAAAATATTTAAGCAATGAGAACAAACAGCAGATAGATGTGTGATGTTTCCCTGTGGTCTTAAGACCCAAGAAGGGAGACCAGATCTACAAAAGACATAACTGAACTTAAGCCAGTGATTAGCTGCAAAGAGATAACCACAAAGCATAAAAATGTAGCACACAGCAGCTAAAAGTATGGTGCGTAATATAGTCAAAAAGAGCCTTTAGATTTACACACATTATAGCAACAACCTGAACTATTTATCACACACTAGTTCAGACAAATCAGCTACTTATCAAAGACAGCCTGTCATATAATCTTCTCCTGTGCACCTCACAGACTGTCTGTTCAGAGAACCTGACACATTATCTGGATGAAATATTACGGTGGAGCCTGAACCCACAGTGAGTGGAGCTCTGCAGCTGTGTACAGCTGTACACCAGTGAGTGATGCGCACTCACTGCCAACAACATAAAGGCATTTTATATTGGTGCACATTTTGTAAAATTAAGTTTACTCAATTGAATAAGAAACAATTTTATTTTTTTCTTAGGAATGATGTGTGCTTCTCATTATGATGATTTTTTTTAAATCACAGAAGCTATGTGATACTGCACAATAGATTACTGGGACTGGTTTGCAGAGTCTTCAGAATTGTCTTACAATCCTCTGGTTTAAAATATTTCTATATTATAATATAGTTAAATATTATAATAATATAATATTGCCTATATTGTTCAACTGCTCCACAGCAAATAATAACTACTGATAATTAATTTGGCAAACTTTATTTTTCAAATTGTAAACAAATACATTTTCTGTCGCTGCTACAGTTTAACTCAATTTCTCTCCAAGCGCAGAGAGCTGTTATAAGAGCTAGTAAAAAACTAGCTAATCAACTAAATGACTTACACACCTGTAAGTCATTTAGTTGATTAGCAATTTTTAGCCACTTCCCTGGATCCAACATTTTACAGGGTGCGCAAGGACAAGAGAAAAGACATGAAAAGTGACAAGTGATGCCACCTGAGAGCCATTCCTAAGTGACCAAAATCAATAACAATAACAACAAAAAGAAAACATGCTGTTTAAACCAGTATTACTTGTTCTACGTAGACGTGTCTAAATCAGTGCCACTACTGAGAACAGGAAGGGTGCAGAGGGTAATTTACTGCCAAAAAATGAGTGGCTACCACCCCTGGAGGCAGCCCATGATCGCAAGCTCCTCCAGTCTCAGGAAAACCAGGGCCATCACGGGTGACACCTTGCCCCCTGCCAAACACCTGTTTTGTTTGACCCGCTACCTCGTGTCAGCACCTCAGGTCACTCAGGTCCTGCACCTCCAGACTCACAAACAGCTTCTGTGACCATACATTTTATACAGCTTAAGCACATTATCTACCTCACATTTATGGTGAGTTAAGAATTAATAGTTAAGCTAACATGTATGTCTTTGGGAGGAAGCTGGGGTGGCTACCATCTGTGAGGCAGTATACTGCACCATCTTGCCGTTCAAATTTCCCAACTCTAAATGTCAGCCTTGACAACCAAGAGATAGGGCTAAGAGTGATGACTGGTAATGGGCCTTTGTGTTCTCAGTATCTTACAAGGTTTGAACTCTGAACACTGAGTCAAAGATGACAAGAATCTTTATGTTATCCAATGTGTGAATTCTCATTGGACATGCAGTGTTTTATGACTGACATGTAAACAGGCAGTAAAACATTATTGTGCAGTTTACTGCTACAAAATAGAAAGTCATCGTCAACAGCAGCACAATTCCCACAAGTGCCAACCTAATATATAATCCATTTATTTCACACATTGAGAGGACTTGATTGTGGCAGAAGGGGAGGTCATAGTTAAATGCTGATAGTCACCTCTCTTTGTCATTCACAGGAGATTCAGCAAACCAGACAAGCTCAGTTTAAACAGGGCTTTGCTAATTCACAACTGAACTGCCACTGAAGACTGAGATCAGGGTTTATTCAACAACTGGACTTGTTCCACTCTGCCACTTTGTTCACATCTATCTGTAGGACATCTTTGCAATGGGAAAAACCTGCAGAGTCAGTACTCTGTGTGTTTTGTGTGTAATCTTAGCCTTGGTCTCCATAGCAACCATTGTCACATTGTGGACTCTTGCCCTGACAGATCATGGTGATGTTACAGCTCCTTGGGACAGGTAGGATATTAATTGGCAAAAACATACCTTTTATTGTTTTTATTACCATTTTATAACCAGGGACCTTATAATTACTGCAACCTAGTCTAGCTGAATTAATGATTTCTGAAATGGAAGAACTAAAAAAAATGGTTTGATGTAAACAAATTATCTTTGAACTATGATTTTTGGAAATTGGGTAAAAGAGGAGGAAGTAACTCTGTCCATTGATGGAGTTCCGATTGAGAGAGTTAGTGAACTCCGTCTTTTGGGGGTAGTATTGGATGATAAATTAACATGGAAATCTCATATTGAACATGTTAGAAAAAAGATGTTTAAAAATATTTATATTTTGGATAATGTATAGAGAGATATACTAGATTATAAGGCAATGCGTATTTTTTATTTTTTATTTCTCACTAATTTTCCCCTATCTCAGTTATTGTGCTGAAGTGTGGGGGGATACATATGCAACTAATATAAATCCTCTATACTTGTTACAGAAGAAAGTGGTACGAATGGTTCATAATGTTAAATATAGAGAACATACAAATAATCTGTTTATAAAACCGAAATTGTTGAAATTTGAAGACTTAGTGAAATTACAGACATTATTATTTATGTTCAAGGCAAGAAATAATACATTACCTCTTAAGTTACAAAGTTTGTCTGTATTGTGTTCAGGAAGTGGGGACAGCAGAAGGAAGTTTGACTTTTAGCATCAGTTTGCTAGGACAACACAAAGGCAAATGTGTCCAACAGTTAAGGGTATAAGAATATGGAATTCTCTTCAAGATAATCGTAGGAGTTGTACAAATATGCACCGTTTTAAAATGTGTTACACACTTAAAAGGGTAAATCAATATGAAGAACATGAAAGTAATTTGGGCTAAATGTGGAAGGAAAATTTTTCATTGCCATTTAGTGCTGTATATTGTGATTATACTGATTTGTTGTTAGTTTTGCATTGTTACATAAAGATACATGTTAGAGGGTTTTTTGGGTTGTTGGCGCCCTCTTGTAAGAATAATTAGATTGCAGATAGGGGGCAGGTGCTAATAAGAATTTATTCTTCTTCCTGCTCCTTTTTACCCATGAGTGCAGTGTTATATTAATGGGAAGGAGGATTTGTATGAAGGAAATGAAACACTATTGAACCATGTGTGAAATAAATAAATAAATTAAATGGAATAAATGAAATTTAAATGTTTGTTTACGGTCCTGTACTGTTTGAGGTGTTTATATATATTTTTAATATTTCTGTTATTTAGACATACTGAACAGGCATAATATCATGGTCACTTCCCTAATATTGCATTGGTTCCCTTTTTGCTACAAAAGTGGGAACACAACTGTGATGCACCATGTATTCTAACACCTTTCTATCAGAACCAGCATTAACCTTTTGGTAATTTGAGCCAACTGGATCAGCCAACTGGATCAGACAACACGGGCCAGCCTTCACAGCATGGATTAAATAGCCTTGACCAACCATGACCCTGTCACTAGTTCACCACTGTTCCTTCCTTGGACCACTTTTGATAGATACCACTGCAGACTGGGAACATCCCACAAGAGCTGCATTTTTGGAGATACTCTGACCTAGTCATCTCCCTATCATAATTTGGCATTTTAAAACTTGCTCAAATATTGATGCACAATCCTTTTTTCTGCTTGTAACACATCAACTTCAAGGACAAACATTTGTAAATGATCAAATATAAATAAAACAAGCTGGATAGCAATGTCTGAAATAAGTCCTATTATTTTTGTGCTTATTCTCCTAAGCTACCGTCTCTCCATGGATGTGATTCCTGAGTACTACAACATCACCATATGGCCTCGTCTCAGTCCAGACCCAAACAATGGTCTCTACATTTTCACGGGTGAGTAAAACCTTACTGTACAAATAGTTCCCTGTGACCAAGCACTTTTGATACAAGAAGTCACATAGTTAAACCAGCAGCAGCAGAGATTGTTGTGGTGTATGACAGGCATGTTTATTTTGAAAAACAAGGCTTATCTGTTCTTGCATATAGTCATTAATGTGTGTAATTATAAATGCTGATTTGTTGTTATCTTCACTCACATGTAACATTGTGTTTTACAGTTATCTCTAGTAAGCATCACAAGGTTATACTATGGTAATAATAGGTTGAGATGTGATGTTTGAGATAAAATTAAAGGGTAAATTTGTAGATAATATTTTTTTTTATTGGATGAGGAAATTGTGCCGTTTTCTTAAGAGGGAAAATAAATCAAAGTGGCCTGTATTTGTATAGCGCTTTACTAGTCCCTAAGGACCCCAAAGCGCTTTGGACATTCAGTCATCCACCCATTCACACACTGGTGATGGCAAGCTACATTGTAGCCACAGCCGCCCTGGGGCGCACTGACAGAGTTCAGAGCATTAAACAGGCTGATGCTTAATGGGTAAATGGGTCTAACAGGAGAGATGATACAGACACATGTCATCCTTAAAATACAATGTAATGCTGTAGATCAATTTACCCTAAAATATATAAAGCTCATACAAATCTAAAACAGTAATGTGCAGACAGTAATGTAGCAGTAATATTCATAAAATTTAAACCAAAAAGTAAGGCAACACATCTTTGCAACATCCCTGAACCCAAACCAGCAAAAGAAGGAGGACACCCAGATGGGTTGTCATGGAAGGCGCAGCAAACGATTGGCTCAGTAGGCATCCCCACTCCCCACATCCCACCACGGTGCAGGAAGAAGTTGGCCTGGGGCCCACAATGTCATCGCCCTGGAACACCAAGTAGTCCAGGGCAGAACCCTCAACACAAAGAGTAGACTGGAACAGATAAGTTCCAAGACTTGGGGCTCATCTGTACACTGCGTCACAACACCAAACATTTCTTCAGTTACAGACAGTAAAGGGACTGGTTTGGGTCCAAGACATGCTGCACCTGGCAACAGTTGCTCCCTTTCCTGGACACCCCACCCCACCCCACCCAATTGGCCTACGGGCACCCATGAGTCCTGGAGGCACAGATCAGACATCTCAACGTGAGCTGACCCACACCACATGGTGAGGTGGCCAGACCAATACATCACAAGGAGAGACCCAGCCAGAGACTAGACGATCACGGGCACTGGGGCCTCAGAACTCTCACCTGGCCCTGCCCAGATCAGGCCAGCCACCTAGCCAGGAGCCAACCTCTGCCACCACAAGCACCCCAGCCCCCACTACCTTACTAAAGCTTAATAGTCTTGATACATGATCAATCATCCAGGTAAAGAAATCCCAAAAAGATGATTCTGGACATCCAGATGAACAGAAGAAACTTTTAGGGAATGCCTTAATAGTGTGTCATTATTATAAAGGGTTACCTTCAAATGTTTTATTCACTGCTATTAGTGATTTATTTTCTCTGTATCTGCATTTAGGTTTCTCTACTATACTTTTATTTCCACAGAGATTTCATTGGTGCCTGTGTTAAACTACCGCTGCAATGGAGGCTGCATTAATATAATTTAGCATTTTTCTTTTTTTCATGTGTTTCAGGCCAGTCCACTGTGCACTTTGAGTGTGTGAAAGAAACAAATTTGATACTGATTCATTCCAGTCAACTGAGCTACACCAGGCAAGACAACGAACACATGGCCAGTGTCACCACTACAGGTACCATCAAAGTCTTGATACAAAGTAAAGTAACAATTCTTAATTTTATTAGGATCTCAGAAATCATTTTACTAGTTCTGCAGTTAATACTATTGCATACATAAAACTGTGAGAGCAGCAGAAGATGTATTGAGTTACAGATGTTTTCAAAGATATTATTACCTTTCTGATATTAACAAATTAAGTATTGCTGTAGGATAACACATTTTAAAAAATCAAATTTTTGAAGAAAAAAACTCATTTATGCATGTTTAGCTTTTGTTTGTGAAGGTTCTCAGCCATCCAGGTTATTGTAGTCTAAGGAGCTGCGTCTGGACTTCTTTAAGACGCTTTCTTGAAGACGCTTCAGCTCTCATCCGACAAGCTTCTTCAGATCTAAGAGCAAGCCCTATCGGGAATGTCCCTAAGAGGGCTGTGGACCCCCTATTGATCCTCTACCTAATCACAAGAGCCAAAGTGTGCAAACGTGTGTGTGTGTGTGTGTATGTTGTTATTACATTCTTGGAGATTATACAGAGAGACCGTTAAAGATGTTTTGTTTTTTTTCTCTCCAGATGGTGCAGCTGCTCTGATTATAGAATCAACATGGCTGCAGCCAGAAACACAGTATCTGGTTATCAACTTAAAAAGTAAATTACGTCAAGGACAGAAGTATCAGCTGTACACTGAGTTCACTGGAGAACTAGCTGATGACTTGTCAGGGTTTTACAGGAGTGAGTATGAAGAAGATGGATTACAAAAGTAAGTCCTCTTTGTGTCCTTCTATGGCTGGATTTGTTTCACTGGTGTCATTTTAAACCTATACACTCTCACTATTTGCATGTGTGGAATTTTTGATCATTTACAGGATAGTTGCCACCTCTCAGATGCATCCAACTTATGCCAGGAAGACCTTTCCTTGTTTTGATGAGCCAGCTTTGAAAGCCATTTTCCATATAACGCTCATTCACCCACCTGGAACAGTAGCCCTTTCAAATGGCATGGAAAGAGGTCAGTGCATCTAAACACAGTGTCAAGATCTGCAACAGCAGATCATAAGGAGCAGAGAAGAGGATCCAAATAAAGACGCATAGACACAGGAGACAACAGAAGCTGAGTCGTTTATTTAGGCTGGTAGACAACTGTGACAATACAAAAACATGAGGGCGATTAGGAAAAGTAGAGAGACATGGGAACAGAGCTGGAGCAAACTACACATAACAAGACAGTGAGAACAACACTGAACACAATACATATGAAACAAGGAATACCAAAGTAAAACAGTAAACACGACAGAGACGGAGACAAGGAGCCAAGATCCACAAAAATGTCCATGGAAGAGAACACAAAGCACATGATAGACAGACATGACCAAGTGCCAGGGGACTAGAGATGGTAAAGACATGAGAGACAGAGAAAGAGAGAACAAACAGAGACACGACTGAGGAAAAAGGTAAATAACTAGAGGGCACGACTAACTCTCACTGGAGACACCGGACAAGACAAAGACAAAAGGAACCTAAAAGAAAGGAAACCAGAAATACAAATAAACTGAGAGACAACAAAGGAACTAAACTCAAGACTAAATGGTACAAAACTTGGACTTAAATCATCTTTATCATGCAAGGAAAGAGTCATGAAACCAAAATAAACTCAAAACACTGGGTTAAAGACCCAGGACCATGACACACAGTTCAAATAACACAGTTCTAAGTGTTTATTAGAATATTTTAGTTTTAATTCTGTTGAATGCATGTGATGCATTTGGCGTTAGCATAAACCCTTTAGATTCAAACTAATTTAGACGACTGCCAGACACAACCTAGACCTACATTTGCTACAATTTGTGCTACGGAGAAATTTGCAGTCATGTGTTTAACTAAATGTCAATTAAGAAAAAAGTTAATATCTTAAAGCTCTGTCATAATGACCAAATGCTGCAGCCAAAACAAGTCTGTTTTATTAATACAGCTTCTCTCTTTAACTATAAAACTTAAAAATAAAAATTCTTTGTGCTGCTATGAAATTTAAGTTGTTAAATGAAATTCAGAATACTAAATACAGAAAAAGTTATAGCTTCACTGGACACAAGGCCAGACTACATGTGTTGATCAGATTAATTATGAGCTTCAGAATCAATAACCTATAACCTTACTAAATAGTAATTTAACAGAATAGCTCATATAAATATTCATGAATTTGTAGGAAATTTGACCAGCTGCTGGAAAAAGGTTCCTCAGCTAGACTACTTTAGTTTTAATTCTGTTGGATTCACATGATGTAGCTATAAAAGACTAATATGGTATTTTTGTCACCCTGATGGGCAGGGTGTGTGTCTATTTTAAAGTTTGTATGTCTCATATGGACAGTCATCATCGTGTTTAACAAAAAAAAAAAAGTTGCACACAGTAGCATTACCAAAACCTTGTCTTCTATTACTTCATTCATAGTCACTGATAACTTTAGTTGTGTTCTTCAGATATTGCTAACATCACCATTGATGGAGTAAGTTGGACAAAAACCAAGTTTGAACCCACCAAGAAAATGTCCACCTATCTGTTGGCCATCACTGTCTCTGACTACACATATATCAATACCACACAAAAAGACCCTCAGGTAATTGTCTGTGTACTTTGGTTGACTTGCTCCAAAACTTGAAGAACTGTGTCAAAAACGTTTGTGAAAGAGTTGGTTGCTGTTTTGTTTTTGTTTTCAGATTCGTATCTGGGCTCGAAGGAAGGCCATTGACCTAGGACAGGGAAACTATGCTCTCAATGTAACTGGACCCATACTGGACTTCTTCCAGTCATACTATAACATTGCCTACCCTCTAACTAAATCAGGTGACCCTGGTGTTTTTATAACACGATGTTTGTGTTTTAGCTTTTCCAATTATTAGATAGACATTGGGGGGGTGGGTTCTTTTACCTATCCAGATTACTGAGAGAGAGTCTGTCTGCACAATTTCAGATGAACTGATATGATTGTTTATTAACCCCTTGTATGAAAGTGAATTAAAAGTCTTGTTGCAAATGGTAAACATACTGAGACCCGATTTGCATAAATTAATAGAAACATTAAAAGACGTTTCATCAAAAGATGACATTCAAAAACAAGTGTCTTTTTTCATACATTGTTCATATTTATAATGAAGATAAATCCAGTTTCCACTTAATCTCTAGGCAAATCAGCACAACCTGGATTTTAATGAATGAATCAATTAATTCATTAGTTAATTACCAAAGGTTTTGGTTGAAACCACAAGATCTCACAGTGGTTTCACGTGAAGGGTGGAAGCATAAGGGTAACAAGACACAGAAGAAACTAATCAAGTGCAGTAACAAACAAAGTAAAACTACAAGAAAAGAGGCAAAAGAACCAAAATCAAAAACCATTAGAGTTCTTACTATAATTATAGAAATAAAGAAAATCAGAAAGCTATAAACTAAAAACTCTCATTAATAAGACCACAACAGTTTATACCAGTTGAGGGAATTAAGGAATTGTGTGTCTTATAACAAATTGTTTAATTACATTCTTAAGATAACTTGAAGCAATTCCTTAAACCTATATTAAATCTGCTCTCTTCCTCACAGACCAAATTGCTCTACCAGACTTTTATTATGGTGCAATGGAGAATTGGGGTTTGGTGACCTACAGGGAAACCAATCTTCTTTATGACCCTAAAACTTCCTCCAGTAGGAATAAAGAGAAGACTGCCACCATTATTGCCCATGAATTAGCACACATGGTAAGCTGTTTTGCCTTTTGATTTTTTCGCTCCTTGATAACTCAACAAATTAATTCATGCCATGTCTGGTACAGTGGTTTGGCAACCTGGTGACCCTGCGCTGGTGGAATGAAGTCTGGCTCAATGAAGGCTTTGCTTCATATGTGGCTTACCTAGGAGCAGACCATGCTGAGCCCACATGGAATGTTGTGAGAACAGACTTTTGCATTTGGACCTGATCTTACATGCATTGTTGTCATAGTGTAAAATCCTCTTAAAACATTCCTGTTTGTCTGTTTGCCCAGAGAGACCTGATAGTACTTGACAAGATTCATAAAGTTTTTGCTGTCGATGCCTTGACTTCTTCTCATCCTCTGTCCTCTAACGAAGACAGTATTGTCCTACCTAACCAAATCAGTGAACAATTTGATGTCATCTCATACAGCAAGGTACAGAAGCTGCAACACCTTACAGTATCACTACTCATCAACTGCTAATTATCCTTAATTGAATAAGATTTATGTATGCAAACATGCCCAAATTGTCTTTAGCCTTTTGAGTTTATAAAACCGAAGGAGTTTAAATAAGATTAATTGTAGGAGATTAATTGAGGTCTCTTTTAACTTAACATATCTCACCCTACTGAATAACTACGGTCCAGAGAGGATTTGGCCTCAGATTTGTAGGTGCTGATTCTCATTCCCACTGCTTTACACTTGGCTGTGAACCATTCCAGTGTGAGTCAGAGGCCATCACCCGATTAAGCCAACAGAACCACATCCTCTGTGAAATCAGAGATGAGATTCTGAGACCACCGAAGTGAAAGCCTTCCTCCATTTGACTACGCCTAGAAATTCTGTCCATATATATTACAAAAAGAATTGGTGGCAAAGGGCAGCCCTGGCCATCACCCACCTGGAATGAGTCCGATTCATTGCCACCTATGTGAACCAACCTCATGGAACGGTTGTATAAGGATCAAATGGCTCATAGCAGTTGGCCAGAAAACCCTATACTCCTGAAGGACCTCCCAACGGACACTCCCAGGGACACGGTCGAATGCCTTCTTCAAGTCCACAAAGCACATATAGACTGGTCGGGCAAACTCCCGTGTACCCTTTATCCCCTCGAGTATCCTCAAGAGGATAAAGAGCTTCTCCAGTGTTCCACGACCAGGACAAAAACCACCCCAGTCTGCCAATCCAGAGGTACCCCCCGCCCTGATCTCTACACAACATTGTAGAGGTGTGTCAACCAAGACAGCCATGCAATATCCAAAGCCTTCAGGAACTCAGGGCAAACCTCATTCACCACAGGGGCCCTGGCACCAGGGAGTTGTTTAACTGCCTCAGTGACCTCCCCCCTAGAGATAAATGAGTCATCCCCCTTATCCCCAGGCTCTGCTTTCTCCACGGAAGACCTCTCAGTGGGAGTAAAGAGGTCCACAAAGTATTCCTTCCACCCTGACAGTGCTCTCAGCTGAAGAACCTTAACACCACTAGGGTTCAGATCCGAGAGGTTGTTCCTCCCAATCACGCCCCCCCTCCAGGTCTCACTGTCACAGACATGAGCGTTGAAGTATCACAGTAGGACAACAGAGTCCACAGGTGGAGCACCATCAAGCACCCCACCCAGGGACTCAAAGAAGGCTGGGTACTCTGAACTTTCATTCACTGCATAAGCGCAGATGACAGTCAGGACCCATTTCCTGACCCAAAGGCACTGGGAACAAACCCTCTCGCCCACCAGGTTAAACCCTGACATACAGGCAGCTAGCCAAGAGGACACAATGGGATACCCACCCCAGCCCCCCATTTCTCATCAAGTCTCTCTCCAGGAGACTGGTACCAGAGGCCAAGCTGTGTGTTGAGGAGCACCCAACTATATCTAGCCGGTAACTCTCAACCTCACACACTAACCTCAGGCTCCTTCCCCACCAGGGAGGTGACATTCCATGTCCCAATCACTAGTTTAGGTAGTCAGGGATCAGTCTGCCTGGGCCTCTGCTCCTGGCCGCTGTCCAACACACATTGCAACCGACTCCTAGGGCGCCTCCTGTGGGTAGCGGGCCTACAAGAGGATGGGCCCATGTCCCTTTTTCAGGCTGTGCCCGGAAGGTCTGGCCACCAGAAGCTCACCAGAAGCTCGACCTTGGGCACCCTACCTGGGCCAGGCTCCAGGGCAGGGCCCTGGTAACCCTGTCGTGGGCAGGGTGAACTGTTCCCTCGATGTTCTACTCATAAGGGTCTTTTGAATGGCTCTTTGTCTGGTCCTTCACCCAGGACCAGTTTGTTATGGGTAACCTTACCAGGGGGCAACCCCACCCAACAATATAGCCCCTGGAATCTCTGGGACACACAAACCCCTCCAGGACAATAAGGTAGCGATTCACGGAGAGGGGTAGCAATTCCATAATGATTGAATACAAAATAAGAAATAGCCCTGAAGATACAGATCGGGAATAGTACCAGTTTGAGATAAATGTACATGTCCTGAATAACTAGTGTTTTTCAGTTGCTGTACACTCTACGATATATTGTGTTCATTTTTTTTATTATTATAAACTGAGTAACTGATAGATTGAACAAAAATGTTACCTCCTCAGGGTGCAGCAGTGTTGAGGATGCTTTCAGACTTTCTCTCAGAGCCGGTCTTCATCCAGGGACTGAGTGTATGTTTTTGTATATTTCTTTTAGTTAGTTAATGAGATACATCACCTTAGCCAATATTGTTCAGCCACAGATAATTAAGAATTTTGGACTGTTTTCCTTTTTTCTGCAGACTTACCTCAATCACTTTGGATACAGTAATACAGTAGGGAATGACTTGTGGCATCATCTGCAGATGGTAAAATGATGATTTCTTTCTTTTTCTTTTTTTTTTACAAAGGTTGTATGTGACTTTGGCATTTTGTTACAGTTACAAAACATGATTGTTTGGTATATTCTTTAAAATAGGATAGTTACATTACCATAATTTTTTTTAAAACATTTTATGGCATTTTCAAATTTCTCACACTACCAGTCTGTGCAGCCAGACACAAAATCATCTGCATGTATTGCCATATGATTCTGCAAAGGACTGAGGTTCTATTAAAACAACACAGTACAAAAAATTTCACAAATTTTAAATTTCACAATAGCTGACAAATGTTATTACTGCAAACTTCTTATATTTTATTTTAATTTTGTCTTAAAGTTATTATCATTATGCCTCTGGTGTTTTTTTTTTTTAAACTAAATTCTTTTTGGTACTTTTTTTAATCTACAGGCTGTGAAAGACAATAATGGTTCACTTCCTCATTCAGTTGATCGAATTATGAGTCCCTGGGTGCTTCAGATGGGATTCCCTGTGGTTACTATAAATACAGCCATAGGGAAAGTATCCCAGAAGCACTTCCTGCTGGATGCAGATTCTAACGTCACAGTCAAATCACCTTACAAGTATGCAGAACTACAGCTTTTGAAATGCAAATATGCTTTGACTCATTGTGGCAGTATTGAGAAATATGTCATTTTTTATATGTGCTTCCCACAGCGTTTAGATTTAGTCTAAAGTCAACCTAGATTTAGTTACGTTTTGTTTTCATAGCACAAGTTCATAGCAATAGTTATTTCAAAAAGCTTTGTATAGTAATAAAAAATACCTGGCAGTATGAGAGAAAGAAGTCCAATAATCTGAAAATCTCAAACAGCCCTTTGCAATAGCAGGAAGAAAGAACTCCCTTTTAACAGGAAGAGATCTCTGGTAGAATCAGGCTCAGGGAGGAACTATAAACACATCAGGAAAGTGTTTGCTTGTTTAGGGTTGTTCACCACATCCCCATCAAATTCCTGATGAAGGCTCTTAGGATCCTGTTGCATCCTTCTCTGACAGAACAATTTTTAGAGGGTATAACAGACGTGGCAGTTGGTTGACTTGAAACTACAACATAAATCTCCACATTTCTCAAAATAGTATTTCAGCTTTTTTTTCTTGAAATGGCCTTTTGGGTTTAAACTTCAAATTGTGACAGCTCAAAATGGACAATAATAATGAAAGAAAATCTGAAATAACTGGCACAGGTAATGATACAGGGAGAAATCTAGACAGCAACGTTTGGTTAAATGAGAAATCAAAATGTATTCTTATAGTTAGGGATGGGAATTGATAAGATTTTCACGATTCCATTTTCGATTCTGTTTAACGATTCGATTCTTTAACGATTAGATTCTTTATCAATTCTCTTATCAATTCTTTTTAAAAAAGGAGAACACTAAGGTCGATTAGCTTAGAACTTTGTTTTATATCTTCTCTTTAAACAAGATAGAAATGTAGGAGTAACATGGCCTTACAGCCAACAGTGAGATCTTAAGAGATCCACAGCCTA